TGTTGCTCACACAATCAGAAATCCTTTGTATCACACTTTAGTTGTGGTTAAGTAATGTTCTCTTTCAAAACAATTAACAAGCACTTTCCACCGTTGTCATCGTAGTTGCGCATGTCAGCGCTAGAGGCGCTTGACAACTTACTGTTTCTAGAACAATCACAATTTGAAATAAATATACGGTTGTGTTTTTCTATTTTGGTTTCAATTTTATTATTTTTTTCGTCTTTATTTGAACAGCTGATGATGCGAAAGCAGTAAATGTTTATTCAGATTTTATTGTCATAAAAATGAAGAAGAAATTCCAACAATTGAAACAATGCTTACAGTCTATGAAATGACATCTTAAAAGCGTACACATATACATAATTTATTTGGTGGCCGAATCGACGACAACATACATTGCTTCCAGAAACACTCCCATTGGTGTGTAGCGCAGTCTCTCGTCAATTGCGTTCGATAGTTTGTTACGTAAATTTCGGAGGCGAAACGATGCATGGATGAATGCCAAGACGAACGGTAGTAAAATTAAAAGTGTCACATACATAATCGACTGGAATGAATACAGGACTAGTCCAATGGTAAGGGTTATACAGCCCAAATACAGCCATCCAGTTGATCCAGGGCATTTTTCGTGCTGTGGTTGACCTTGAATTTGGTTGGGATTGATCACAACAATCGATGCAATTATAATTACAAATGCGCAAATGCCCGAAATTGTTTGCAATGGATTATGAAGCACGAACAGAGCTGATACAATAATGGCCATAACAAAGTAATTGGTTTGATAGTATAAAAAATTTTTGGTCACCCGATTGCCCCATTTGTCAAGATCTTGAACATTTGGCATTTGAAATCGGGCCGATCCCAAAAGGAAATCGTCCAACGATCGCAATGGTGGCAATTCACATTCGATACCCATTATTCTATTGTTTAATTGGATCCGACTGCAACGTGAACAACAAATTGCCAACAAAGCAACGGTATATGCAGCTGAAATTATCCGCAATCGATTGTGGACAAGCGCAGAAAAACTATTCGAAAAAAAAAACAAAAGTTTGAAAGAAAACTATCATTTGAATTGGCACAAATATTCGTTTACAGTCTTACCTATTTAGCTTTTCGCTGAGATATTTTTTATTCTTCTTGATGTAAATCTTTACACGAAAGACGAGAAAAAAAATGATGTCATTGATTGCTCACACTCACTTATTTTAAACGCAACGCATAAATAAATACGTTCTGACAGAACAAAACAACAAATGCACTTCATTTACAATGACGTTTCAGTTTTGGTACATGTGATTATAATAATTGAACGGAATTTCGATTACTTTTCATCCCGTGTTGAGATGGCGCCACCTATGACACAAAAATATCTGTCGTGATAAATTCGGCATAGATTATCTACATTTCAAATCTCACATAAGAAAAAAAGTTATTTTTTTTTTCTCAAATCGATTTTTATTAGATTTTCTATTTCATAACCAATAAACGAATTCATTATTCATTTAATGCAGTGGTGATTTTATTTTTGGATGAAATCAAAAATTGAACATTGTCGGCATTTGAATTAATTTGCTCATGAAAAGGATATTATTTCACGTAAATATTTGTTGGGTTTTGAAATCTCATTTAATTATCAACAATTAACATTTTTTAATTTGCATTTGATAGATAATAATAGTAATAGTACGTAGTTCTTTTGTCAGTAAAATATTTTTTTTTTTTTTTTGGATGCTGGTTTGTATTCTTTTTCGTTTCATCTTCAAAATTTGCAAGAGATGCAAATATATATGATAGAAATGAATTGGCCATTTGATTAAAGCAACTCAAGTTGAGGCACGGCCATCAAAATGATAATACAATATTTTTGGGAGGGTGATGGGTAATTTGGTAGTGCTTCACACTGTATGTGGAATCCTTCTACTGTAAAAATCAGTAAACACGTCTTGTGAATGAATTGATTTCAATTTCAATGTTCCTCAATAAGAAAAATTCCCTGCAAAACGAATGAATCAATTGAATTTTATTGAACCAAACGCTTTGCCGAAGATTGAAAATTTCAAATGTGGGGTGTGTATTTGTTCTTCGTGTCAACAATACGTATTCACTATTTTTTGAGCGTTGACGAATTATTAGTGCCTATTTCGATATCGTAAATGTGAATATACAATGAATTGGGTTTTTGTCGAATTAGATTTTTGCTACTGTATGAACCATTTTACTCCGTTAAAATCTGTATCATTCAAGCTATGAATTTTTTTTGTTAAAATTCAACAGGAGAGAGATAGAGAGAAAATGGTCGATTGAATTTTGAAAGTGGTGTGTATAGTGTGTGTGTGTGTGTGCAGTATCATCTTACATAATAAACACGGCTGGAAACCCACGATTTTCTGTAGTACAATTATTAGTTCATTTTGCGTATATTCTTTATTATTTGCTCATTTTGATGTTATTATTTAAATTTATTCTCTTCATTGTTGCATGTGTGCACTATTTGAGCCTTATTGATATTCAATATGTTTTTTTTTTGTAATATTTTGTTTTCATCACACATAAAATTTGTGTCTATATGACTAATTATTGTTCTAAAAATGATTCACTATGGTAAATTGAATCATTTAATTGGTTTAAATTACCCATAAGCTATGTTTTTTTTTTCTTTTGTCATCAAATTTCTTAAATTTATAAAAAACATTTAATGTGTTGTTTACTATTTTCATGGTTTTCAAAATATCCATCCGCCCCATTGGCTGAAACTGTCTGGTTTTCTTTTCATCTTGTTCAATCAAATATTGTTGTTATTATTTTTTAGCGTTTCAAAAGAAAAAAAAAGTTATCAATTCATGGCCATGGTTTTGCATGTACAAATTGTACAGTAAAATTCAAAAAATGGCTCTAATGTAAAAATCTAAACGCGAAACGGCAATAAATAATTCACTCAAAAGAGATTCAGACTAGCTTATTTCTAAACAGAATGTTTGTCATTTGAATGGCAATCTCAAGAATTGAACATGCAGTAGAGAAAAAGAAATGATATTGATATAAGTAGAGGAAGACACACTCATTATTTAAACTGTGTCTAAAAGGAGTGAAATTGATTTAACTACAGCAAATCTGCAACAAATCTGATAAAACCTAAAATGTATTAAATCATATATGATGTCTGGTATGCTTCTGGCATAACTGAATGGATTCGCATATGGGATAAGTCTTTTTGTAAGTCAATCCATGAGATTCAACAAAAAATAATCATTCTCTTTTGACGGGCCGAATTGATACATTTTTTTTTGTTGGTCATTGGTCACTAATTTTTTTTTTTCGATAAACATTTGTATATATATATATCTTCTTTGTTTTACAATAATTTTTTCTTTTGCTTGTATAATTCGTTCATATTTATAGATACATTTGTTTGCTTTATATTATTATGCCTAATTGAATTGTTAATCATGTTCTTGTTTGTAGTAGATTAATTGATTTTCTTTTTAAATTGACTATCGTTAATTGATAATTTTTTCTATCATCTGTTCATGTTGTTCTCTTATACTCTTTTTTGTTTTAGTTACCTATCCACTAAACACAATCGGAAGAATTATTTCCATTTCATATTCGTGTAATCTTTTCTTTCATCTATCTCAAAAACAATCATGGCTTGTCAAGCAAAAATCTAGTGAATAACATCATAGGGCATTCAGTCGAAAAGGATGCAAAAAAAACTGCAGAACATAAATAGTTTGACATTGATTAAATAGGGCTTAACATAAATTATATGATATTAGCAATAGCCTGTTTGGAAATTCTGCAGCATAATGAGAATCAATTTGATATGATGAATAGCAACCGAAATTTGATTATGATGCGGGCGCTTTAATGCAGAACTCTGCATAAAATCATGGATTATTTCAACAAATTTGATTCAATGTTGAAAAACAATAACATTGCCAATAGTGGATATGCTCTGAGACCAATTGACAACATGGACATCTTTTTTCTTGGGTTACTTATAACATTCTGGATGTTTCACTTGTAAAGCTCAAAAGTGATTTTTAATTTGAACAAATAAAAATAATTTCACAAATCAATTAGTTGTTTCAATTTTGTTCCGAAGATACATGGTATATATAAGTTTTTTTTTTAGTGCCATACAATTTTCGCTCTTTTAAAATGGCCTAATCCGGCTTCGCTGATTCAAATTACGTTTCGTTTCTCGTTTTTGTTGTTGTTTTACTAAATGAAGAATAGCCCGTTTTGATCTCAGAGAGTCACACAAAAATGAAGATATCAGAAAGATTAAGAGTGTTTTACCACTCTGTCCGCCAAGCTGATGTCCTCATGGATATTGTCTTCAAAAAATTAACACATATCACAATCAAAGAATATGTTAGGTTACATAGAATTAATGGTGTAAAAGCTTCACTTGTTTGTCCTATATATCATTTTGTCTATCTTCATTAAATATAGTCTATTAATGATAATTATAATTAAATGATATTATGATGGGGTTTTGTTGTTGCTGTGATTGCTGTTTGTCACCAGAATAAATATTGTTGCATGTAAAGAGGAAGAAGACCGAAGAGCAATTGTACAGTATTGATTGTAGTATTGTGTTTTGTGTGTATTGAACATACGCGTGGAAGCTTGCACATAATAAGTTGTTGCAATCCTAGCGAGAGTAGTAGTCATCGGAACATAAAACAAAACCAAACTGAGCATATTTACAGGTATTTCTCGAAGGAGATGTATATAAATCTCATTGTGTTTGCTTGTTGTTTCGTCTACTATTATGACTAGTTAATGGCTTTAATTACATATCAGTTTCACTTGTTTCATCTCGTCATATTTATTTTAGTTGCAATATTTATGTGTGAATTTTCGTTTTAAAAATCATTCCTTCATTTAAATCTTCTATTTGTATGAATACTTTCTTCTGTTTTTGTGTATGTATTTATGTATGTATGTGTTCGCTGTTCATTTTCATGTTTTCTTTGGTTTCTTTACAATTTCGACTTCATTTTTCATCTTCGTTAATCGAATATATCAGTTTGATTACAACTTTATCGAAAAATATATACGCTAACACTTCATATAATATATGATTTGTTTTCTCCATAGTCGTTTTCTCACGTCTGCCGCTCTATAATAATATCCATACTGACATCATCAATAAAATTGTTCGATAGTGTTTATGTGTGTGTTTGTGTGATTTTTTTTCCTTCTTTTAAATAATTGAACTTCAAATTAATTGTCATTTGCATATCAGGTCGGAATGTAATTTAACATCTTCGCTTTCATTTTATCTTCGATGCAATTGAAAAGAATCTATACCATTTCTTTTCCACCCCATATATGTGTATGTGTGTGCTCTCTCCTTTTAAACTTTCGCTTCTAACATTTATGATGTGTATGTGTTTCATGTGAAATGACGTATTTTTAGATGCTGCTTACACTGGAACAGCGAATAACAACGATGTTCAATGGGGACAACAGTTTGCTTTTTGAATGATCTTTCTGCTGAATTGTTTCTTTTTTCTTTGCCAATAGGAAACATGCCCACAAAAATGAATCCTAAAACTGTAGTGCACTGCACTGCGCTGGAATTATTGTTGGCAGCAGCGCATAAAAGCTGTCTGTGATCTTAATAATCACCTGTGTTTATGGAAATAAAAACGTTTCGCATTCAATATCGAGTTCAGCGGGTAATTCAAAATGCACAAGATGTAGAATAACACTTACTTGGGCATTGTGGTGGATTGAAATTGCCAAATACGTTCAGTTCATACATTGATGCTAGTGCAATGAACAAGAAATACCAGATCATTAAAATGATACCAAGGCGTCTGTCGAGTTTCCATCCGTTCAAATGCACTGACAATAGCAAAAATACTACTGTCGACAACAACGATAATGTGGAGTATGTCAATCCTATTCATATAAACAAATCGGTAAAATATTCAAATCAATACTTCAGTTCAACATTTATGGGTTAGATATAAGGTCGTTGAACGTGGTGTAGAAGTGTTTTTTTTTTAAATTTTAATTTATTGACGAACCTTTTGAAATAACATTAACATGGCCGCCGGCGTCAATGATTGTGGTCTGAATTAGCCACGGTAAACCGAGACAGATCAGAATATCAAAAACATTCGAGCCAACCGCATTTGAAACAGCCATATCGCCGTATCCCTCTTTGATAACAGCCATAGAACTTAATGCATCCGGAATCGAAACACCTGCCGCTACGAAGGTTAGCCCTATCGAATAAATAATTTTATGCTATATAATCTGTTCCATTTCGAAAAAAAAAAAATGTTTCAATGTTTGGTATGAATAGTTGAGAAAGAGAAAAGTATATCGAACCCATCACAGTATCTGGGATGCCTAGTGTTGTGCCGATAATAGTGATCATCCAAACCTACAAAAGAGTAACGAGCATTGTGTAATCATTTGAACAATTGGAAATGAGGGAATTGTTCGACGGCATTTACCATGAGATACGAATAGAATGAAATCCAGAGCATTGATATGATGAAGGTGAATCCGTACCAGTTGCGATATTTTTCGGTTCGGCAATCGGGAACAGTTTTCTGGCATAAATAATGGATTGGATAGCATATGCGCCAGGTGATGAGTGCAATGACCCCGCCTTCGCTGGGCCGAATCAATGGATCGACCAAAATTTGCGATGCTTTCGGATCTTTTGACTTATAAAATTCGGGGGCTGGCAATGCACCCACTTTTTTCTGTGCATTTTGTGATGTATCAGCACTAGTTGGGGACATAGTTGGTGACATTTGATCAGTTTGATCACCCGCAGCGGCAGAGTATGCATAATTTTGCTGGCCTTGATCCCAAGATGCATCAGGATTCCATGAATCTGTTACACCATAGCCACCGGCATTTGGTACAGCAATCGATGTTTGTGCAGGTGCAGATTTATTTCCTTGGCCATCGTCCCATGCTGCGTTTGGATCCCAACTTTAAGATTTGAAAAACAAAATAAAACACGAAACAAAACAAAAGAAAGAAATACAATTTTGAATTAGCTCAATCTAGCATAATATTTCAAAGAACGTATCGACTAATTGTATTGACAACACTGGAAATAGAGAACATAGAAAGCATTCACTTTTGGGGATAAGAGACGATTTGTTTCAACATATCACTGTTGATACCAACTAAATGGAATAGAAACAAGGTGCTTTAGTTAAAAGAGCAGCGGGGTCACAAAGGAAACACAAGACAAAAACCATCAAACAAGCATTCTGAGTGAAGACACTATGACGAAATGCAAAGAAATATTACTCTGTTCCATAATTGTAGCCTTGATAATTTTGTTGTTGCTGTTGCTGCTGTTGTTGTTGTTGTTGTTGTTGATCCGGACTCGACGGTTGCTGTTGTTCAGCATTTCCATTCGCTTCGGCTGCCTGTGAGTAATTTGGATCCGGAAGATTTTTGAACGTAACTAAAGCCGATTGTTCCTCTTTCGTTGGCAATTTTATTGGCAATTTCAACGAATATGCCCATTTCTCCAATGCAGTATTAAAGTGTAATGCCACGCAGTACAGAACGTAGAACATAATCATGATTAAAGCCTCATACTAAACGAAAACCAAAAATATTTTCATTTAAAAACCATTTTTAAGTTGTACCGAGAGAGTTTGTACATAGTGAATTTCATTGGAATCGCACTTACCCACGAGATATAATCGTTCAACATAATGATGAGCATAACGATAATTGAAAGCGAATAGAAGAAGCAATCTCTGACCAATGGCCACCAGTTCAAATGGCAAACAGTTCCACTAAATAGAGCGCATACAGATATGACAAACATAATATTGAACACGGCTGATCCAATGACACCGCTCACTCCGATATCGTCTTTTGCAAAGAACACGCCGATAATAACCGTTCCGAGTTCAGGAGCAGAGCTACCAGCAGCCATAAAAGTTGCGCCGGCCACATCGGGCGATAGTCGTAATTCCTCGCAAATTCGATCCAAACTTGAAACGAAGTAATCATCGCAAACGATAGCAAGTCCGAGGAAGGTGAATATTGCAATCAAAACGTGAATAATTAGGCCACCCTTCTCACGAAACCATGATGGCAACAACGGCGGTGGAAATTGCTCAATGGCCGGTGGTGTACAGTTCCGCTTTTGTCGATATGTTCGAGGACGATTCGGATCTTGCGTCGATGTGCTTGCTGTTTTTGGTGTGTTTTTTTTTTTTCGAAAGAAAAAGTCACGAAAAAGATAATGGGTATTTTGTCTTCGTTGTTTTCAAATTGGGAACATATTTTCGCATGAATGCTTGCAATTAAGGGCAATGTAAATGAAAAAAAAAAAACAATAATTGAAAATGATATATTTACATCTAGCGGTTGTAGTCGATTGTATTGTTTCCTGTGTGGATCCAAACGCGGTCACATCATCGTTGGGGACGATAGTTGATTTCGGCAGCAGAGTTGAAAGATCATCGCCGTCCGGTCGTGGCGTATTTGATGCAAATTCATTTGATGAATAAACTCGTATGACACTATAAATGAGAAGTACTAGTCCCAAGGAGAACATACGCCCACGCCGTGCTTTTCGCCGCATTTTAAGTCTCTAAAACAAAGCAAACATCACGTTTTAAGGGTTTGACTTTTTCACTCACACTTCTGCGTTAATCTGTTTTTTTTTCTTCTTCAAGAAATCAAATCTAGAAAATTATCAATTGTGAACCGCTTTTATTGTGTATCAGTTTACTTTTAAAACGAATGTATTTCGAATAGAGAATGAATGAAGCGCTTTTGTGAATGACATGCAAGTCACTTCGTTTAGAAAGTCAAATTCAAGAGATTCATTGCATGTAAATGAAGCCCTTCGAATTATAATTAAAATGATTTGCAATGTGGAGGCGATATTTAATTAATTTATCGGTGGTTGGATTTATGTTTTGTTGACAGCCAAAGCACATGTAAATTGGTAACACTTGATGGGTTTATTTGTCATGCGAGTCAGCGCAAATCTCAGAAGACAGTTTTAAAAGAACATAGGTAACCGTGCGAGTAATTGATGCGAGTCTGTATGAAGAATCGCGAACCATTCGTGTAAATTCGAAGACCATGGAACAAAACTATCTGATTAACATGTCAGCGGATCGTTATTGGCTCATGCTATGATTCGTAAATTTGTAATAATTGCCGTACAATTTCTGTGCTGTGACTCGTATGTAAGTTTCCATTGAGTTTGAGCGAGTCAATACAAATTTTCATAGAAATTATGCGAATCTCACTGACTTGGGATCACAAAAAGCCCCTAGTGGGCAACATTTACCACAGGTTTTATTTAATCGAAAATAATTACATAAGAATGAAGATTGTGGAGCTTCTTTTTTGTTTGAAATTAACAACGGACTCAGTAGAGACTTTCAAAACAAGCAATCGATTTTCCAATACCAAATGTATGCTACCATTTAAGCCATGTTATTTCAATTTGAAGCAGCGATATGTATATCGCACACATAGCCACACTAACACACAGACTCCATCGAATCGCACTTCAAAGTAGTGCGTACGGTGGGGACACGAAGAGAGCGAAAGTAATAGGAAGAGAGTGTGTGTAAGCGTATGAGTGTTGGCAAAAAGTTACATTCTGTAGGACTTTTGACCAAAATAAAATTGAACAAAAAGCTAATGATGAACAAATGTTATGCAGAATCACGATTAAATTTAACATTGCATCAGATAATGACAGTTTTGACAAATCTATTGCAATTTCAAATCACTTTTGTCACAATATTTAATTTTTTATCTTCAGCTGAAAAAAAAAACTGATTCAACATCTTCAAGAGATTTATACAAAAAAGTAATTACAATTCGATGTCATTCACAAAAAGCTTTGGAAATCATTCACTTTATGAACGAAGAAACATCGAATCGTTATCAAATTTCAACAGAAAAAAAGCACAAATCAATTTTCATGAAGGTCTGTTCACCTTGTATTTTATTTGTTTTTGCTATTCCTTGAACACTACCCAAAACGGTATCTTGCGCTAAAATAAAATTGAGGAACTTAAACGAAATAAAAACTATCGGAATCCGCACGAGAAAATTTTGACCGTGATCACACACACACACACACACCAGGTTTTTTAGGCCAAATGTATTTTGTGGCAGTATTTTTTTTCTATCCTGCTCACTCTGCTGTTCCCACACACTCTGGTTTTTTTTTACAATCTACAAATTATACAAACAGGGCAACCGAATTGAAGAGCGAATTTATGGTTTATATCAAAAACGAAAAAAGTAACCCCCAACCGATGTTATGAATGGAAAGTGCTGAACGTGAGAATAACGTGGAGAGAACAATTGAAAAGAGTGCCTAAATCGGATTTGCCGCACATGCGCTGATAATTTCTACATCGGCTATTCCATATATCACGATGCTCTCTTGAAATATACAAACATGTATACATATGTGTCGTTAAGAATAAAAAATGGGATTCGCCGAAACCGTGTGTTTTCATGCGAATCATTTTTGTGTTTCTGGTACGAGATATGAGGCAATTATCTCAAGCAAAGATGAAGATCTTGAAATGTTTTAAAACATTGCAGAAGACATATGTCTTCTAGCTCTTACCAGGAACACAAAAATGATTCACATGTAAACGAGCGGTTTCGGCTAGTTCCATTTTTATTCTGAACGACACATATTTACCGAGTGTGTACTACGTAGGATGTTTCAAGTGCTTGAACATTGCTGAAAAAATTCGCGAATTTCGTGTAAATAAAAATTAATTACAAATTAGACAAAATGTCAATCACCGATTTTATGAGCATAATTTTTATTGAATTCATTTCCTCTCATCTGTGTTTACTTGAGTCCCAGTCCATCTGAATCGAACTGATCTGTTCGATGAATAAATATCAAAACATAATCAAATGAAAGAGAAGATGAATTGTTTGCAAACCATTGATTTCGTGTTTGAAAAAAATCAAACCGTTACAAATTAACGATAATCTGTGCACAATTGCACGGTACAAATAATGCAACAAACTTTGTTGTTTCAAAACAAAAATGACCCATTTTTTTTATCAATCTATATCATTGTGAAGAATTTCGTCATAAATTGAATTTTTTTTAGATGTTTAGCCATCAAATCTAATGAAATGCGACTCTTAAATATGTATCCAATTGATGATGCATCATCGGGCAGAGTTTAAGAAACTTTATTTCCTAAATGTGGTGATATAGTTTCGATTTACTTCAGCATGAATGCTATTTAGAAATTCTCCATGATAATTCCACTTCGAATTGTTGCCAGACATGCTATGATTTGTTTTTCATGCATTTCGATGTTATCATTCTACAAGGATACAGTCCAAATTACTACTGTTGGGTATTTGGATTAGTTTTCCCTCTTCTTTGGAATACAAAATAAAAAACGAAAGTACTCATTGAGTACTCTACTCAACAGTATAGTATTGGTATTCTAACCGTCTCCACATCAAATATCTAGTACTCCATTCATTGAAGTACTTTAGTAATTAATGCATGCGATTGACAGCTTCAGCTGTCATTTTCATTATACGATGCAACCTTAAACGTATTAACTACATTCAGTAGATCATTGTTGTCGAGATTCATTGTGTTAAGTTGATAATTATAAGTGCATTTCAGGCAACTGATTTTCTGTTCAAGTTAAAAGAGGCAAGCGATCAAAATGGGTAAAGGTTTCAACAATTACATGTGTAAAAAGTTCTTCCATCCAGCGTCAAGAGACAACTTGAAACGCGTAAGTAAACTACTGAAAATAAAATAACTCAATAAAAGCGTTTGACTAACGATTTGCTTCTGCACCTTTGATCATTTAGGTATGGATGGCAGAGCAGCAGGCTGAGGCGTACAAGAAAAAGCAAGAAGAGCTGCGAAATCAGTATGAAAAAGAGCAAGATTTGCATGAAAACAAAGCGATGCTCAGCAAAGATAGCAAGGATAAGCTGAGCATGAATTTCATGTACGAACCACCACCAGGCGTTCGCAAGGAACGTGAAAAGGATGACAATGAACCGGAGTACAAATTCGAATGGCAACGCAAATACAATGCACCACGTGAAAGTTATTGCAAGGGTGATACAGAGATCCGTGATCAACCGTTTGGTATTCAAGTGCGAAATGTACGTTGCATCAAGTGTCATAAATGGGGCCACATAAACACTGACAAAGAGTGTACAATGTACAGTATATCGATGAGCGAAGCACGTAAATTGCATTCCGAAGCCGAGGCCAGTGAGATTTTATCCAAAAACATGCTGGAGGAACAGATGAAAGAGGACGGTCTTATGATGAAAAAGGGCGCAATGAGTGCACAAAGTTTTCAAAGTGGCCGTTTGCATCAATTTGTGGCCAAATCAAATGAAGATGATGACGATGACAATGACAATGAAGCCCCGCAAGTAGAAAAAGAGTTCCTGAAATCGCTCAGCACCAAACAAAAAAAGAAGCTGCTGAAGAAACTAAAAAAGATTGAGAAAATGAAACAAAAATCAGCCAAACGTGGCCTCAAGAAGAAATCTAAGAAACATAGCTCGGAAAGTCGTAACAGTTCATCGTCATCATCGTCGACATCGTCTGAATCAGGAGACGAGAAGAAGGTTCAAAAATCAAAAAAATTCGACAAGAGAGATGAGAAACACTACAAACCAAGACGACATTCGAGATCTCGTTCCCGTTCGCCGAAAGACCGAAAAATTAGACGCGACAGAGCATCAAGTCGTGATCGGTCAGTTTCACCTCGACGCAATCACAGGCACCGTTCGAGATCTGCTTCGCGAGAAGCAAGACACCGAAATCACAGACGATAGACGGAAATATTCAAATGTGTTCAATTTGGATATTGTTTGCGTTAAGGCGTATTTCGATGGGATTTCTAATCATTGTTCAGTTTTAGATAACACATAAATAAATAAATATACATTTGTCCACGGAAGATATACCATTTTGTTATTTGACTTTGACCATCAAATTGCCAAACAGTTTTAATTTATTTTGAATCGTTTTTAATCGAATTGGGTACAACACTTTTTTGTAGCAGTTTGCATTTGGTTAGTATTTTACCACCTTTGGTATGATAAACTACAATTTTTTTTGGTGGTTCACAGTACTGTCCCATTGCAAATGGCATACTCGATACTCCATCGATTGCAACGGAAAATATGATTATCATCAATAGCAAATTGATGAACACTGCATTTGTCAACTTCATTTCTGAAAAAAAAAGAAGCAAATCGCAACATTTATTTTATTTAAATAACAAATTTCGACAAACGGGTATCATGACTATAATATATGTTCTTACTTCTCAGTTTTTTTTATAGGCGATCGATGGCATCCAAGAACGTAGTACCTTTGAATTTCGTTCATAGAATCAGTGGAGTTTTATTCAAAGTGCAAAGTAGTGGGGATTATAATTGTGTAATAAAAGTACATTTTATGAGTTAATGAAAATTCCATTTATGATTATTTTATCTTTAATAAATAAATTTTCTTTCAATTGCGCATACATATTTTTTTTCTCAAAATTGTGCGTTCAATAAAAATGAATAAATTATGCGCAATTCGGAAAAAAAAAATAATCATACATAGCAATACATTTCTACAATATGCATAGCTCGATGTGACACATTATCGCCTGATCATCGTATCAAATTAAACTGAACGGTATTTTTATTGACTCGGAAAAAAATAAAAATATCTGCAGTCAGTTCAATTTACATGCAAACCGAACGACTGAATCACACGTTTTATATTGACGTATTTTATCACATTTGTTTTGTAAAATATAAGCATTCAGGAATTTATCCATGATATTTTAGGCAGAAGGATTCATAACACACAATATCTTCAAATAAATAACAAAAATGGTTTATATTCAAATGATTTTATTCAATGAGTGAAACATTTTGGTGGCCACAATCTATTTTATACTTTATGGTATATATTATCAACTCTATATTGTTTTAATAATGAAACTATTCTGAAATGAATCCCGGTTTTAGAAGCTCATCCTCTGCATTTCGTTTTTTTTTCTCCACTCTTGGTTGTATATTCGAAACATTGAGAAGTTGGGATAGACCCACCAATGTTTCCATCTTGTGTTCCCTGTGGAGGCTTTTCGACCGATACTGCATTTGGAACCAATGCAACGAGCATTAACAGTACAAAACTGATGAAAATCAAATAAGTCACCTTCATTTCTGGAAAATAATTCATTTATATCGTTCACTTTAAAAATTATTCCATAAAAGAATCGAATGAATATTACAACAATTCACAGAAACAAATCCATTCACAGGGATTAATTTGTTTTTTTTTTTTTTTAAATATATTGAAACGTTTGATTTCACAAAGGTGTTTTTCCTTAATATCATCATCAATTGAAAATATTCCTACCTAGATTCAAAGTCACCACAAAGTTATTCCAATCCAAACCGAAAGCGTATGATCACTGCAAATGTCAATGCACAACTGCTTGTTTCCGAATACAAAATGTAATGAAAATGTTGCATCTTATCTTATTCATAAGCGCTAAAATTGTATTGATTGAGTTTGGTGTCATCCATAGCTCCAATACTAAAAAAAAATTCACATTCTTATCACTTTTCATAATGGCAAACAAACAAACAAACGAATGGAATGACGGGTGTTTACAGTAATCGGAAAAGAATTTCAATTGAATGCCTGTGATTCAATTTGTTCTGCAAAGAAATTCCGACGTAATGCTTCTGAATGAATACAATTCAAACAATCATGCAAAAGTGCGCATCTAATGTGTTTCCAGGAATATGAGAATGTGTTAGTGCAAAAGGGCAAAATATATTTCATTTGTTTTTTTTATTGAATTATCTCCGTTCAAAGACGTTTGATCTCGCGTTTAATATTGTCGCTTTTTGCGCTGACACATTCATATGTAGACAATAATTAAATTCAACTTGGTTCGAATTTATGTGAATATTTTCACGATTTTTATTCAATACTCATATTTGGGCTTTGAACAATTCCACAATAATTGATATAATATAAAATATTAAACAAAATTTCAGATTATCGTAGAGAATCTATACGCATTTCCATTTGATTTTTCCGCTTCTGTATGTAATTTTTGCAGGTTGCTGTGGCGGTTCACAATTTATCAAACTATTACCAAATATCGTTGAATCCAGGGTTCCATTATTAGTTGGCGATGCTATGCTGGTTGGAATAGTTGTAATTAATACCAACAAGAGGAAGGTGTATGACATCCAATTGATAGATTTCATTTTGGTTTTTTTTTTTAGTTGGTTGACTGAAACTCCTACAGCTATACTCTCCGCTCCGTTCCGATAACTTGTCTTCTTATTAACGATTGAAATAAATAGCTCGGTCCAACTCTACGTGTGGTTTCTCCAAAAGATTGAACTGAACTAGTCGATTATTCAAAATGTCTATGTTTTATATTATCACGCGCCTACATAAGGAAGTATACTTGATATTACTCAAGAACTTGAAAACATTCGTTTCACATTGACCGTTTATTTCCATAAAAGACGAACGACAACGGAAATTAACAAAAAAAAAAGTTCAACGCCACGCGCTTATCAGAAAGAATAACGTTTACAATAATCTAGAAAAATTCATCCAAAACAAATGAATCAAAAATTAATAATAGGGGAAGGTGGGGCTAAACCGGACGCGGGGCTAAACCGGACACTTGCAATATCTCTTGACTGGTACGTTGTATTGAAGCGTGAATGATCGCTGTGAATGCGTATTAATGAGATGCATTCACTTTTAGTATCAAAAACCGAATATATTGAGTTAGTACAATGTTAGCATTCGAAAAGTGCGAAGACGTTGTTTTTTTTCTCTCAAACTAAAAAAACAAATTTCAGATTTTTTTGGGTTATGTCGTTGAAATTTAAGTGCACGGGAAATCTGATAATTGGTTTTTGAAGCTGAAGACGAGCTGGATTCAGTGAAAGTATTCTTTCTTTGATTGAATTGGAAATTTAAAAAAAATTTCTTTGTCGAAATTTAAGTGACAGGGTGGGGCTAAACCGGACACTTTTGATCTTGAGCCAAAAATGAAGCAGAAAATTTTATTTTTTCCTGGAATGTTATATATCATTCGAAAGCTACATCCTTCAGCTACAAATCACATATAGTCTTAATGTAAAAATATCCGTTCAGTTCGGCGCAATCTCGCTCAGACCGTACTGCGATAAAAGCCTATATAAACAATGTTATTATATTTGACAATATTTGACTCGATGTCAATGACGATGTGGCAGCGCCACCTATAGAGATTCCTTATTAAAATAAGTGGAACTATTGAGTGCGTGCACCATATCGCACGTAAATTTTCAATATGGCAGCGCCCATAGAATTGAAAAGTTAACCGATTTCATAGTCGCAAATTATCGCTGTACGGCTCAGACTGCACCATCCCGAAAACGATAATCTCAAAAATGACAGTTTCATTCACTAATTAATTTCAATAAAATCTTATGAGGTTTTGGTATCAAAAAGCTTATGCAGATATAAAAAAAGAGTCTATTTTCAGATTAAAAATGTTAAAAACTCAAAATTATGGCATATTTATGAAAATATTTGGGATGTCCGGTTTAGCCCCATGTCCGGATTAGCCCCACCACTTTTGAGATTTCCGATTTCGAGATTGGTGCAGTCTGAGCGAGATTGCGCCGAACTGAATGGATATTTTTACATTAAGACTATATGCGATTGGTAGCTGAAGGATGTAGCTTTCGAATGATATATAACATACCAGGAAAAAATAAAATTTTCTGCACCATTTTTGGCTCAAGACCAAA